ACCTCTGAGCAGTTTTTCCAAAGCATGACTCACTGGAGAGACATGGAGTCAGTTTCTACCCCTCTCCTCACCTCCTCCCCCACCCCAGGCTGGCCACTCCAACCTTCCCAGTGATGTGGACACCAGGCTAGGGGCCCACCCAACACCTTGAACCTGAAGCACTTTCCTTTCCTCATTAGACACACCTTTACAGAGTGCCTCTTTAGTGCCAGGTAGTGTCCAGGGACTCTGCCCAAGATGGAACTGTCTGCCGGGAAAAGCCAGCAGAGGCCCAAGAGACAATGCCACCCAAAGGCTCAGGAACCGCAGGTTTCTCGGCCAACAGGAGGGCAGGCTGGGTGACCAGCAGGGGGACCACATGCAGGCAGGTATCTGACTCTGTGAGCCCTTCAGAGCCCACCGAGCAGGCACAGACCGACCGCTCAGTCACATTAGCGGACATCCTTGTGGAGTTCAGAGCACCATGGATAAAGACAAGAGCCCACAATCTTCCAGGGAAAACAGGTCACACAGAGAGGGTAGGAGTCAAAATGGTATCAGATGCCCAACTACTGAAAGCGAGCAAACAATGTGGAAATGCCTTCAACCTGAAATTCTAAACTCACCCAAACTATCAAATTGGAGAGATTAGGATAAAGATATTTTTAGAGAGGTAAGGTCCCCCCAAATTTACTTCTAATGTACTCTTTCTTAGGGAGGTACTGGAGGATGTGCTCCATCAAAACAAGAGAGTAAAAAAAAAAACACATACCAAAAAAATAAGGGAATAAGGCTTCAACATGCCCCTGACCCCAGCTGATAGTCAAGGGTAGCTCCAGTATAAACGAGGAAAAACAGACCTCAACCAACCATCAGACACAGCAAAAAGAGGGAAAGTTTCAGAAGAGACATCAACAAGGGGAATAAAAAGAACTGACTACCAAACTGAGCTTCTGTCACAAGATTTAGGACTAAGTTAGTTATGGGAACATGGAAAGTAAGCAAGTGAATAAATGGGGCTATTATAAACCCTAGGAAAAAACAAACAGCGACAAAAACTGTAGAGGATCTACCCAAGAGAAAAGAAAACATGCCCACAGAAAAATCTGTACACAAATGCTCACAGCAGCTTCATTTAGAATAGCCAAAATGTGGAAACAACCTAAATGTCCGACAAGTGATGAATCGATAAAACACGGAGTATCCATATAAGGGAACACTGGTGCAACACAGATGAACCTCAATCTTATACTAAGTGAAGAAGGCCACTCAGTGTATGATTCCCTTCACATGAAATGTCCAGAACAGGCCAATTCACAAGGACAGAATGTAAATTAGCTTGCTGAAAAGTTTCTCCAACCTTCTCCATTGAGAACTGCTGCCCCCACTTGCCCTCCTGACTATGTTCTCGTTTACCTAGCCTTAGACCACTTCACCCAATCACTTCATCCAGTGGATCTCCTAACTGCCAAATCCCATGAGTCCTTTCAGAGCCTTGTCATCCTTGCTGTCTTCTAAAGCCCTGTCTCCATCATCCACTGTTCCTCAAAAAGCTCACTTCCTCTTAGGTTATTACACTTCCCTCGCCTGTCCAGTTCCATCTTTTCCTCTCACCTCTGTCCTCAACTCATCAATCTGAGTGACTAGTCTTCAATCTCCACCCCCAGTTTTGATGTTCTCCTGAGTACGTCTCTCGTTTCCTACTAGCACCTCAATTTCAGTCCATTTAAAGACAAATTTTCTTCATCTCCCCAAACCAGCTCTTCCTGCTAGCTTCTGAACCCTCCCAATGCCCTACATCAAAGCCTAAATGGGAACTTAAATTCCACCTCTGCTCTATCTTCAGGACCAAGTTTCACTGAGGCCAAGTCCTGTCATGTCCAGCACCTTGCACAATGGCTACTTCCTCTCCCCATCCCGTCACTCTCTTAGGATCATCATCACACACCCAGATGGCTGTCTCCTTGAGGCAGGCATGAGTTCTCTAGGTGGTAGATACCCTCTCTATCCCACCACACACAAACAAAAAAAAATATGTGTTCATACCCACAGAGTCTCTTCTTCAGCTGACTAGCTCCCAGAAGCGTCTAGCCCTGATCTGATCCAACACCAAGGGCTGAGCCTAATATTAATTATTCGACTCCTGCGTAGCTGGAAGTCCTTGGACTCATTCAAACATTCCACAAATATTTAATTCTAGGTGAAAGAAACAAAACAAAGGTCCTGGCCCTCATAGGGTTGATGTTCTGGAGGGGGGTGTATGGGTGAGCATTCAAGGATACCTGCAGACCACCGGTCTTCAGCCTGCTCAACTTTGCTCTAAGACCTGAGTCTAGGGCCATCTCTTTGGTGTGGTTCCTGGTAAGCCAGTATTTATCAAGCTCCATCCACACTCACTGACTTTCACTAACTGCCCTATATAACTGAGCTGTTCTACACTCAGTATGCTTACCAAGTGGCACAGTGGTAAAGAGTCTGCCTACCAATGCAGGAGACAAAGGAGATGCAGGTTCAATCCCTGGGTCGGGAAGATCCCCTGGAGGAGGAAATGGCAACCTACTCCAGTACTCCTGCCTAGAGAATTCCATGGACAGAGGACCCTGGTGGGCTATAGTCCAAGGGGTTGCAATGAGTTGTACAGAACTGGGCATGCGTGCACACCACACACACACACACACACACACACACACACACACACACACTACAGTTTTATCATCATTTATCTCAAGCTCCACAAAGCCATAAAATTCTATTTTCCCTATCTTCTCAGGTTCCCTATAGCTCAGAAACTACAGCTGGCATGTGAATACTTGTTGATCAATGAAGACAGGGAACCACTTTACCCCAAATCTAACATGGAGCCCTGTGAAGCCACTTAACCACTGCGGGAGTTCCCAGAATGTTCATTTTACTCAACAATCTATAGGGATAAGGTTACTACTTAACCACCAGGTAGTTCAACACAGTGGACTTCCCCAGTGGCTCAGCAGTAAAGAATCCGTCTGCAATCTAGGAGACACAGGAGATGTGGGTTTGATCCCTTGGTCGGGAAGATACCCTGGAGAAGAGCATGGCTACACACTCCAGTATTCTTGCCTGGAAAAATCCCATGGACAGAGGAGCCTGGCAGGCTATAGTTCATAGGGTCTCAGAGTCAGACACGACTGAAGCAACTCAGCATACACACACACACTTTAACACATTATAAATTTATAAATGAAAACAAACAGGGATCAGTTTCGGAATGGGAATGCAAAATCCACACAAATATCTTTGTGTGAGGCTGCTAGTAGGCAGTTATACATATTCCTTACTGCTGTGTAAGCCTGGGTAAGTTAATCAACTGCCTTGAGTCTCAGTTTCAGGATCTATAAAAAAGGGATTAATGTAGTATAACAAGCACTGTCTACCTGATGGAACTTGTTAAGGATTGAGAACATTGATGCGCACTAACTGCTTAACACAGCGCCTGGCACACAAGTGCTCATGACATGTTAGCTGTCCTTGTTAAGTTCCAAGAACCTCCCTCCCTCCATTTGTCAACACACCTCTGTATTTGGGAGCATCCAACAGAAAAAGTCTGTGGTTAGATTTAGGGCTTCATTTAAGAGTCTTACCACACTGCCTGGATGACCAAAATAGGAAAACAAGGTCAGGCCACAGGGTTGTTACAGAAGCAAAATAAGAAATGGATCCTTTTCAATTAGCTGCTGCCACTGTCTCTTCCCCTGGAAGAGAATCCTCTACTGCCTTGGTGTCTTCATCTGTATAATGAGACGAAGCCTTCATACCTGCCTGCAAGGCTGTAGTAAGATCCTGGCACAAGAAAGCACTTTGTAAACTCCAGAGCACAGTGCACCTGAGTCACTTACTGATTAAGAGCATGGGTTCTGGAGAATCTAGAGGGAGTGACCTGAGACAAGTTAATATCTCCTGACTTCGGTCGCCTATAAAACCAGAGCAGTAAGAATATCTACCTCAGGGATTGTAGTGAGGAACCAGTGAAACAATGTTAAGTGTTTGGGGCCTAGACTATCAGAAGAGCCCAACTGCTGGGCGTTATTATTATTACTAGGACGAGACTAATCCACTCATTGGACTTCTCACCCCCAAAGATCAGGTGAAAAGACTGTTTGCAGCGACGGCAACACTGCCCCTGTAACTGTGTGCTGTAACCAGTTTGGGTGACCTTGGGCAAGTCTCTGACCTCCAAACTTTGGGTTCCGTGATCACAAAATGATCCCCTGGTCTCCTACAGCTCTTCCTCTCCGCTGTGAAGGTGGCCGGAACAAAGGCCACCCGCTCCCCAACCCGTCCCCGAGGGGGTCGGGGGGAGCACAACCCCAAATTCCTGCGGCTCAAGTCCCTTTGCAGCGCGACAGCAGGAGCGCCTGGGTCTCTAGAGCGGGGAGATGCGTCCAACACTCCGCCGCCACCGCTCGCTTCATCAGCGACTAAGCTTCTCGCTGCCCCCTTAAGTTTTCCCAAGCGCCGGGAGAATTCGGCCGCGGTTCAACCCCGGGAAGACCACGGAGGGGGAGGACGCGGAGCCTGGGGGCCCGGCCCCGGTAATTTCCCAGGGTCGCCCACGCGGCCCGGCGGGGAGTGACAGATGCGACGCGGAGCCTCTCGGACTGGCAGGCAAAGCCGGACCTCGGATGGCGCGAGACGGAGGCAGCGGCCGCGCGCTCTCCGCGGGCCGCTCCCGTCAGGCACCCCCCCCCCCAACCCCGCGACCCTCGCTGGGCTTCCGGACACGAGGCGCCCCCGGAGCAGCTCCCGCGCGGCCTGCGGGAGCCGAGCCCCGGGCGGGGCTGAAGCCCGCAGCACCCGGAAGGGTCGCGGACCGCCGCGGCGACCGCGCGCGCCGGTTCCTCCCGCGTGAGACGGGGCTGCCCGGTGGCGGGCTGTGTGTGAGGAGAAGGTGGGCGCACGCGCACCCGCGCGCGCCGCCGTAACCCCTTCCTCCCCGCGCGCGCCCCCGGCCCCCCGCACTCCCACCCCCGCCCCCCACCACTCACCGTCGATGTCCCCCAGGGTCAGCTCGTCGCCCAGCTCCGTCAGCGTCTCCATGGTCTCCAGACCGCCCAGCTCGCCGCTCCCGTCCATCGCCCGGCTCGGCGCAGAAGACCACCCCTCCCCAGCCCCACGCCTCCTCTGCCGTCCCGCTCAGGGAGACGCGGGGGCGGTGCCGCCGTCGCCGCTCATGACACCCAACAGCCCCCGCCGGGTTACCACCTCAGCGGCCGGTGCCAGCCGCCGCCATGTTTGCGCCGCGCGGGAGGGGGGCGGGGCGGCTCTGCCCCGCCCCCAGCCCGCGCCCTCCGTGGCCCCGCCCCCCGGGCCGCGCACTCCCTTGTTTGTTGTCAATGGGACCAGGCTGGTCGTGGCCAATCGGCGCGCGGGCCGGCGCGTGGGGTGATGGCGCGTCGACGATCAGCAGCTCGGATTTGCATAGCGAGGCCCCGCCTCTGGCGGCTCTTAAGCGAGTATGAAGAGAGAGGCCCCCCGGGTCCTGAGACCAACCCCCTTTCCCCCCAAGTTTAAAGGAACCGTTCTCTTTTCTCTTGGTTCGGCTCCGCGAGCTAACTCGGTCCACCTGCTAGGGGTGGAAGAGTTAACGCCGTCAGCCCCGCGTCCGCTCGGCACCTCCCGGAGCGGGCCGAGAGCACATTACGTCATCCTCCCAGCTGTCAGCCTCCTCTCCCCCGACCCCCGCCTCGCTGCCCAGCCCACTGGGGCGGGCAGAATCAAAACTGGACCCCCAACACTGCCCACCGCCCCCCCCCCCCGCCCCCGAGGAGTTTGGAGATGCTCTCTAATCGCGTTCCTTCCAAGCCTTTCTACAGAGACTCGCGAACTGCCCGAGTGAGGAGCGTCTGTTTTACAAACTCTGCGCCGTTGCACCTGCCGCGACCGCGTGTTTACTCTAGCGGTCTCTCCTGGGTACCTCCGAATCTCCTGCAGTCCTTTAAGATAGTGCCAGTGCCCCGGAACCACCACAGGCCTTCTGGGGTGCGGTGCGAACACGACATTTTGACGAAGAGTTCCGCAGAGATTCTGAGGCACAACCCACCCACGGATTCCCACTTATTCAACCACCTCACTTCCCCACCTCGCAGCTGGTCACGACGTAAACAAATGTGCAGGTTTCTAGGAATTTATACTAAGGAATAGAAGTACAGTGCTCCATGTTCATCATCCAGTGTTCCAGTGTTCCGTGTTCCAGTGTTCCGTGTTCATCACGGAATCCCCTGTAACCTGGAAAAACTGGGAAGCCCAATAAGGACCTGATGAATACATTACATCCACACAATGTAATACCATGGCATCGTTTCCCAAACGTGTATCTATTGACAAAAGACTTTCACAATATATTGTTAAAAGGGAAAAGCTGTCTCACTGAGACAGCAGTTGCTTGGTGGTCAAAACTTAAAATCGAGTTCAGAGGTTGGGTGGAGGTAACCATATGGACATAATGGATCCACTTATGAACCCTGTGACTTTAGGCTGGTTAAATAACTTCTGGTTGTTTTTTTTTTTCCCTTCTCATTTTTGTCATCTCTAAAAAACGAGGGGAACAGTGCCACCTTGGAGTGGTGAAGATGAAGTGAGATCACTTGCACACTCATTTGACAGTATTTATTGAATATCTCTGTGGCAGGCAGAGAGACAGTTCCTGCCCTCTGAGAGCTTCCAGTCTGTTGAAGAAAACATACATTGATATTTAAGAGGAAACCTAAAATTCTGTGGTGACAACTGCATCTGGTATAGCTAGGGGAACACACAATGCAGACAAAGGCCCTGAGGCAGGAGGAGCTGCTGCAAGCTAGCACATGGATAAGGCCTGACACAGAGCTCATACAAGGCAGCTGCTGTATTGATAACCGAAAAGTTACATGTGATCTGTGTGCACATGAGGGTGAAAAGGATGGAAGGTCCAACAGGTGAGCATCAGTTATGGTTACGGAGTGGTGAGATTAGGGTGAATCATACTTCTTGGCATTTCAGTGTTACTTAAAATTACATTTTATAATCAATATGTATAGTAAAGTACCTTATTGGGGGAGTGGGGGAGACATGAATGTTCTTTTCATTGTTTACATGCAGGAGAGTTGATATAGATGATAGAAGTCTCACCTTGAAACAGAAAACCAAACCCTGCTGCCCTGCTCTGGCCAGGTGCTGAGCTGGACAGTGCCACCTTCAACTCTATCATTCAGTGGCTCTCGCAGGGCTCCCACACCATGGGGTAGTCTGCTGACACACCACATCACGTACTTTCACTTTGGCTTCAATGCCCTTCCATCCCAGAGCCTCAGTAAGCTACTGCAGAGGGCTGCCTGAGCACCAGGTCAGGTAAGTTGGCAAAGTGCCTCCCACTCTGCAGCTGCTCCCTCAGCTCCCAGCTAGACCTGCCCAGGGAGGAGGGCAGAGTGGTTCTGTTTCTACCTTTCAAGGTGTTAGAGGGGAAAACGTGGGCTCATTGGCGAGTAGAGAGGAAGGCATTAACTGAGATGGAGAGAAGTGAAGGTGTAGAAGGAAGAGTCCCAGAGGCTAAAGGTGCTAAAATACGGCAGAGGTGAAGACTGGCTAAGACTGGGTCCCTCTCTCTCTGGCTGTGCATACAGTGGGTGCTCACCACATCTCTGGGATGAATGAAGAACCATCAGAGAAGGGCTCCTGTCACTAAGAAGCCAGGCCCCAACATCAGAGAAGCAGTTTAGGGCTGGGCAGAGGGTTCAGGCATTATCAAATTCATTACACCAGTGAAGCCGCAGCACAGGGAAGGGGTGGGCCAGGGTCACTCAGCAAGTCTGATGGGCTAAGAACCTGGGTCTCCCTTGGGCTCTGTTAGTGGTGGGATATTGGGGACAGCTGTGTGTCTCTCCCCTGGCTTGGCAAAGTCAAGAGACTGAGCTAGAATTCCCCCCCAGAGCCCCTCCCTTCTCTGCCTGGGAGGGGCATGACTGAAGGGCGGCTGCCTACTCAGGGCCTGAGTCCCTCTGCAGCTCCCGGCCCCCTCGGCCCTGGTCTCTGCTTACAGGCCTCCTGACACAGGGAGCTTGCTGTCCGGCCTATCCATCCTGGGAGCAGCCCTTCCACAACAAAGTAGAGTCTCCTGCAGAGCTGCAGCCTGTCCCCCAACAGCGCCCCCAGTAGGCCCAGGGGCACCCTGCACTGCCAGAGAGGACAAGTTGATTCTTCCCTGGGCCTGCTCAATGACTATCCCTCGATACCTAAGGACAGAGATCAGACTGCTCCAAGACAGTCTTGGGCTAAACACCCTCCCAGGAAGGATACTTGTGGTCCCTTCCCAACACTGACCCCTCATCAAGGACGGTGCTGTGAAGGGAATAGGAGGCTGAAGCCAAGCCTCTGCTTTGCTGCCCTGCCAGGGCCTGACGCTCCTCCTGAGTAGGCGGAACATTCTCTAAGATGGTCTCTACAGCTGAGGGCCCCTGATCCCCCTGCCCAGGCCCCCCTCACCTGCTCCATGGAGAGGCTCACATCTCCCTGGGGCCCAAACCAGCCTTGGTCAGCCCAGAGCATTTGCTGGGTTTTCTTGTCTCTGCAGGGGGCTGGAACCTGTGCCTGGCATCTCAGTGACACAGCAGGGCCAGCAGCAGGCATGACTCCTCTGCACATGGCTCAGAGCCTAGTTCTGCTGCCTCCCCATGAGGAGCGGCCACCAGCCAGCCAGCGGTCCTAACCCACGGTGGTGGCGGGGGGAGTCCAGCCCAGGATCCCTTCTGCTATCCCCAGCATCTCCACAGGGTTAGGTCTGCAGCACAGCGCCCTCTGGAAGCTCCCTTGGCACCCCTCCGGGGAGGTCCCTGGGAGGAAGTCCAGCCCTCTGTGGCTCAGTCCCTTCAGCGGGGGGCTCGGAGCCAGCCCCAAGGGGCCAAGCAGACTCTGGCCTCCTCTCTGAAGACGACGGTGCTCACCATCAGTCAAGCTTCTGCACTCTCCTTTTCCTCCCAACTGGCCGCCTCCTGGTCCCGTGAGCCCTGGGCCGCTCCAGGGCTATAACTCAGACTGTGATCTTGAGATCCGAGGGCCTTTTCGGATCTCTTTCCGCTTCTCTTCTTTCTTCCTGCGTTTCTCCTCTTCCCTCAGGGCCTTCTGGAAAGGGTCAGTGCTAGAGATGAACTGAGGGGAAAAGCAGAGCCGTCTGTTAGGCCGGCTGGCAGCAAAGAGTGTGCTCTGAGCTAGGCTGCTGTGGGCACAGGAAGGTCACTGAGACACAGGCCCTGGCCTCGGGGGAGCCCACAGACATGCAGCTAGTAAATAGGCTCGGGGGAAACTGCTGAGTGGGTCTCAAAAGATTAAGCAGGAGCTTGCCAAGTGAACAGGGCGAGGGAAGAGGACACTCCAAGAAGGACAGGCGCCGAACCTGCATGGCACGTTTGAGAAACAAGCAACAGACTGCACTCAGGGTGAAGGGGGCTGAGTGCCCAAGACCACCTCGGGCCCCCAGAGCCCTGAACTAGGGGGACAGTCAGTGAGAGTAAGACAACAGGGGTCCTACTGCTTGCGGACAAGCTGCAAGGTATAGGCAAGGGAGTATATAGGAAGCAGCTGGATCAGAGGTTAAACTGCCAGACCTGGAAAGAGATGGAAAGAAGATGACAGTGACGCCCAGGCTTGTGGCTTCCCTAGTGGGTGCAGGGTGGTTCACAGTGAGAAGACAGAAACACAGGGCGTGCTGGGTGGGAGGAGAATGGGACTTTGGCCGGGGCAACCCCCAGGCCCTCAGCTCTTCCTCCCCGACTCTCCAGACCGGTTCTTCTGAACCCAGGGCTTCTGTCACACCTCTACAGTCCGTCACCCCTCAGATTTGCATCTCCCTATCTAAAGGCCTGTCTGACACCTCCACATGTGTGCACATGTGCCCCGAACTCAGCATGGCTCCATCTCCCCCAAACCCAGTCCCCTTCCAGAGTCTGTGTCCTCATGAGCAGCAGAGTCCCACATCCCAGTCAGCAAGTAGTGCAAAGACAAAGCATCGCCCCCACCCGCCCCCCAACTCCCCAGCTGCAGGTTGAAACCCCTCACAGTCCATTGCCAAGGTCTGGCCCATTTTAACTCCTAAGTCTCAAACCCATCTCTTCTGTCTCACCTATCATATCGTTAACCCCATCACCAACCCCCAACACCTTTCCTGATAAACCTCGGCACCTCTCAGGGTCTCTCCATACCCACTTTGTCCCTCTGAAGCTATTCTCCTCACTGCAGTCATATATTTTCAAAATGTAAATTGGACTCCTGCTGAAACCCATCCTTGACTCTCCACACAGCTCTATCTGCAGGCCCACCCTGCCCACCCCTCCTCCCCCCTCACTTCTGGCTCCTGGGTTCCTTTGTGCCCACTTCCAGCTCTCTGCACATGCTGTGCCCCAGGCCCAGAACCCTCTTCCCGGCCCCCACCCTGTTTGTCACAGTAGCTGCAGTTCAGCGGTCCCCATCCCTGGGGTGACTCCTGCCCTGATTCTCCCGGCTGGGGCTGTCTCCTCCGGTTCCTCCTCAGTGCTTCTCCCCTGCGACCACCTGCCTCTGTGACACCTGCTTCGTGCTTGTTGCCCCCACTGGATCACACTCTCCCCGAGGACAGGTGGATAGTGGGGTGCCGCTCACTGTGGCACAAGCCCCCGATGCGGTCTGATGGGCCAACAGGTGGTGCTTAATATGTATTTTTTAAATGAACGAATGAATCATGTTAGAGTATGAAATACAGTAATATCCACAACTCAGGTAACTCTGTTGGGAAACATGCCCCTTTTACTTGTTCATATGGTAAATCTGATGTTTGGTCAAGGCAGACGTTAAAAACAAACTAGGAGCTCCACCTTGTGGAGTAATCCACCTACTGTGTTAGATTGAACCACAAGTCTGGAAGATGGGGTGAAGTCAGAGAAGTGCAGCCCAGAGAGGGTAAATGATCTGCATAGGTCACACAGCTAGTCCCAGTTGGGACTAGCCCCCAAGCCTCCTAAGCTCCCTGCCCCATGCTTCCCCGATCACACTGCCTCCTATCCCTACCAGTTACTTCGGATCCTCCTGGGAAGCAAGGAGGAGCCAGGAGACCCCTTGGGCCACAGAGGACCCCATCCTCTGGCTCTGGCTGGGGAAGGACCAGTCAAGAGATCCTCGCCCCTCCAGCCCCAACAGGTTGGGTCAGCAGAGAAACAACGCCTAGTCCTTTCCTGGCTCTCCTCCCGGCTGGGCCTGGCTAATGCCTACTTTAAATTCGGGTGCTGACCTCCAGCGGGCCCTCCCTGCTGCCTGGCAACCCAGGATGTTGCCCTGGTCCACTGCCTGTCCTGCTCTCCTAGACAGACCCTCTCCTCGAGCCTCCATCTCTCCTCCCCTCCTCACTCGCAGACCGTGACCTCGCTTCCTGTTTCACAGAGGATGGAGATGCTAAGGAGACAGCTTCTTCCAGCCCCCGCCGCCATACCCACGGACCCACGCTGCTGTGCCCACACTGCTCTTCCAGGCGAGTCCACCCCTCCCTCAGGCACCAGCTCGCCTCTCTCTCCCTCCTCACGTCCTCAGGGATAAGGCTCCAGCGACTCTCCTACCCCTGCACCGGGGGTTCTTCCCCACGCTCACCATGGGTGGGTCCCCTCAACATGCAAACATGGTGTGGTCTTTCCCATCCGACTAAGATTTCCCCTGGAACCCACGCCCTCCTCCAGCTAGTCTCCTGTTGGGTCTGCTCCCCTTGAAAACACATCTCTTTACAATAGGTAACAAGGATATACTGTACAGCCCAGAGAATTACAGCCTCTATCTTGTAATAACTTTTAATGGAGTAGAACCTGTAAAAATACTGAATCATTATGCTGCACACCTGAAACTAGTATTAAAAAAAAGAGTAATTTTTCAAAAGGGTCACCTGTATTTGATGGGAGTCTACTTCCTTTCATCTTGTTCTCTTGAAACTCAGTCTTTTATCCCCACCACTTGACCAAAAGAGCTTTTACCCAGCTCTCTGAGGGCCGGTCTCCATGCTGCTAAGTCAGGCAGCCAATTCTCAGCCCCACCTTCCTGGCCCTCCAGGGGCATCCGGTGGCACGTCCACTCCCTCCTTCCTGTCGCGCGGCCTCAGGGAACTGATTCCCTCTTGGGTCTGATACTACTCCACTGACTGATCCCTCTTGGGGTGCTCTGTGAGCTCCTCCTCACTCTCCCATCTCTAACTGCAGGCACATCCCAGGCCTTGGTCCTCAGACCACCGCTCTATCTGCCCCGTCCCCCTGCCCCCTGGAGTGATGGGACACGGTCTGTCATTGGCACAACTCCCACATTTGTAGCTCTGGCTTTAATAAGCTCTCCCCTGAAATCTAGTCCTCCTCCTTGACATCAGTCAAGTCAAAATCAGTTACCTCCTTGACATCTTCATTCAGATGCCCATTAGGTCCAGAAACAAGGCGCTGATCCCCAATCCAGCCCTCAACCTCGCCCCACCACTTTGCCCATCTGGTGGAAAATAGCAGCCCCATTCTTCCAAAATTGTCAAGTCATCCTTAATGCCTCTTTCACTCCATATTTGCTTCCTTAGTAAATTTTACTGGCTCTACCTTCAAAACAAAACCAAAATCTCAGCATTCCCAACAGCCCCAGTGTTGTCACCCTGGTTCAAGACACTGTTAACTCCAAATGGACCAGCACAGAGGTCTCACCAGGATCTGTCTCCACCCTGGTCCTCACACTGTTTGCCACGCAGCTGCCAGGCTGACCCCTTAAAGGGCTAAGTCAGAGCCCCTCGCCCTGCTCCTCTGCATCCCGGAGGAAATGCCAAAGCCCTGGAGAAGACCTGCAAGGATCTTACGATTTGGCCTATGACTCTGACCTCACTTTCCCAAGCTCCTGCCCTTCCAAATATGCTTCCAACTCAGGGCCTTTGCACTCGCTGCCCCTCCAGCCTGGAAAGTTCTTCCCCCCAGAGATAGGGCTGGCTCACTTGCTGCTTTCAGGTCTTTGCAGTTAGAACCTCCTGTGTCAAAGTCACATGAAACAGCAATGATATCCTCACCTCATCCCTGAAATTCCTTAACCATGTGCCTCTGCCTTTTCCTCCATTGCCCTTGTCACCACCTACCATGTATTTTTTATTGACTGTCTCCTCCAACCAGAATGCCTTTCCCAGGTGGGCAGAGCCGGAGGGCTTCTCTGGTGGCTGGGATCAGCAGATGCTCACTAAACGTTGAATGAAGGCATGCACTCTGCCTCTGAGCCTTCATGCAAGCCAGTCCCTCTCCCTGGAAGGTTTTCCCTGAGCTGGTCCACCCGGCAACTCTTACTTATTCCAGAGCCTCAGCCACCTGCTTCCATAGGCTTTCTCTCATGGGTCCCGTGGCTCATGACGCTTCCGTCTTCCACTGGTTCCAGTGATCACGCTCGACTGGGACTGTGCTCCTCTGCTACCTTCCCCAGCAGTCTGTGAGCATCTGAATAGCAGGGATAGGGCCAGCTCCCTCTGGATGGGGACAGTGGCCAGCCCAAAGCCTGATACAAGCTGGCTCTAGTATCATAAGAAGGGGCCCTCCCAGAACACCCACTGGTATGGAGGCAGTGCATGGGGGGAGCTAAGCAAACCTGGGCTGTTGCTGGCCTCCCCAAGGGGAAACCTCAGAGAAACTGCCAGGATAGGCCCTGGGCCCCAGAGAACTTGATGGGGCTCTCCTATCTTACCTCGCCCACTCTGTCCAGCCTCCAGGGGCCCAGGAGGCCAGGACTGAGTCCAGCGTGGACTTCATGGACAGGAATTCTGGTCCCCCAGCCCATCCACCCTGCACCAGGCTGGGAGCCAGGCATGACTGGGGTATTTGGAGTGGGGGCAGGGGCTGGCCTCCCAGGATCCCTACAATACAGGTTCTGTGAGGGGCCGGTGCTGCGCAATAGAGCACAGATGACCTTTAAAGAAAAGGGCATCTCTGAACCTTACTGGCAGAGGGGTCTACACTGGATACTGAAGAGTAAAACCTTGGCATCATCCCCAGCTGATGAGAAGGGAAGTGTGTTGCTTCTGCGCCTATATCCAAGCAGAGCACATTACGATGATGCTAAATCATACCTCTTGGAGCCTATTCTCTCTGAGGCCCACCTCCTGCAGGAGGCGCATTCATTTCATGATCTGCAGGACAAGGAGAGCCAGCATCACAGCAGGAAAACATCTCCATGAGAGCCAGCGCTGGGAAAGGCGACCTGCCATGGCCTGGAGCCTGCCTGCATGTCCCTGCTGGGTACACCAAGAATCAGCCCTGCTGCTCTTATCCAGGCTGTTTATTAGGGTTGTGGTGGCAGCAAGCCACCGTGCAGGGTGTGTCATCTTGGTTTCACATGAAGGGGAGGCAGCTTTGCTAGTGTGAAAAACCATATCACCCACTCCGTCACCTGAAGCAAAGCCACTAGTTCAACAGGGCCCTCAAGAGTCAGAGATTACTCAGGAACTACACTGATTGTTCACCTGAATGAAGCGCTAATGGTACTCTTAACCAAGCTGGCCTGACTGCTCTTCTTTGGAGGGCCTGCGTCTAAGGCCGGTCCTTGGCTGGTGTCTCGGAACCAGGATTCTGGGAGGGATTTCCATCACCCTGACTGATAAGAGTGGCGCCCTGGTGGCGCAGATGGTAAAGCGACTGCCTACAATGCGGGAGACCCAGGTTCAATCCCTAGGTTGGGAAGATCTCCTGGAGAAGGAAATGGCAACCCCCTTTAGTATTTTTGCCTGGAAAACCCCATGGATGAAAAAGCCTGGTAGGCTACAGTCCATGGGGTCGCAAAGAGTCAGACATGACTGAGCGACTTCACTTTCACTTTCTGCACCTAAACTGTACAAAAGTGTGGTTTATGCCACAAACACGTGCTTCCCTTCAGGAGTCCGGAATTTTGGTATGTGTTAGGCAGAGGGTGAAGGCAATGGCACCCCACTCCAGAACTCTTGCCTGGAAAATCCCATGGATGGGGGAGCCTGGTGGGCTGCCGTCCATGAGGTCGCTAATAGTCGGACACAACTGAGTGACTTTGCTTTCATTTTTCACTTTCATGCATTAGAGAAGGAAATGGCAACCCACTCCAGTATTCTTGCCTGGAGAATCCCAGGGACGGGGGAGCCTGGAGGGCTGCAGTCTATGGGGTCACACAGAGTCGGACACGACTGAAGTGACTTAGCAGCAGTAGCAGGCAGAGCGTGCATACGTGACCAGTCCCTGGTAAAAACTCTGGGTGCTGCGGCTTTAATGGGCTCTCCTAATAGACTTCTCACACATGTTTTCATAACCTGTTGCTGGGGGAATAAAGTATGCCCCATGTGACTCCACTGAGAGAGACACGTCGAAGCTTGTGTCCAGGTTCCCTTAGACTTCACCCCAGGAGTCTTTTACCTTTTTTTACTGCTGATTTTATTGTGTATCCTTGCACTGTAATAAATCAGAGCCTTGAGGACAACGACACACGAGGAGCGTTAACCAATGACTCACAAGACTCAATCCTCCCAGCAAATCACCAACCTGGGGGTGTTTTCTATGGGCAGCAGCAGCCATCCAGCCCCAAGGATGATGCTGGGAGACCAACTGTCATAAAGCCCAGTAAGACAACAATCTGAATTAAAAGCTGTGACTCTTGCCTAGATGGTATTTCTAGTGACCAGGCATGCTGTATTCTTACTGACTATTGTCAGCATCCTAGCCATCTGGTCTGGCAGATGAGCAGGCTGCAAACTGGCAGGTCACACACGGCCATCCCTCTCGGGTGCCATGAACTGTGGAAACAAACCATGGCTGACAACGGGACAGTCTGGGTCACTCGTTTAGATGCCCATAGCCAATTCTCTGATGAGACTAACCAGCATCAAACTGCTGATCGAGCTGACACTGCCCAGTTGACTGGCACTGCCACCTATATGTGTCACTGTACTAGATATGGCAGTACACCCGCCACCATGGACTGACATAAAGCAGAGGACTCTGAATCTCCAATTCAACCACCTAGAGATCCTGGATGGAACACTATGGCCCAAGATCATCAGAATAATGATCACTTGGGGGACTTCCCCAGCAATCAGTGGTTAAGACTCCACACTTTCACTGCAGGGGGCATGGGTTCGATCCCTGGTCAGGGAACTAAGATCTCGCATGCTACATGGCACGCTCCCCTCCCCCGCAAAAATAATAATGACCACTTGGCTAAGTACACTCCTTGCCAAGTCCCCTTGTAGTGGCCCATGTGGGCCAAGATGGGAGATAGGTGTCTGTGAAAATTTTGCAAAAAATGCTCTTGTTCCACTCACTTCTAACCCTTTCACACAAAAAGTCTAGGTGAAAGTAGGGAGTAACTGGAGAAAAGTGAAATTATAGGTCCTGGGGTGTGACATGTTGATTTTGCAGCAATATTCTAGGAAGGGACTGCCTTAGACCCCAGGAGGCATCTGGAACAATTAATCCTCTTTGTCCCTTAGAGCCAGCACTGCCGCCTGGCCAAACAATCGAGGGCCCGTGCAGGCCAAGTGGCAGCTGCAGCTGAGTCAGACCAACTGTCCAGCGTGTCATTCTCAACCACGTGACAGGAAAATCCACACAGACGAGGTCACTGCTGAACTATGTGGCTCTGCCTGCTGCCATCAAAGGCAGCTCCCGAAGTAACCTTGTGCAGACACACAGGCCAGTACAACCTTGCTTCAGTCCAACCCTGGTTAAGAATCCTTCCTCCTGTCCTGATCCGTTATCAACCTTGGGTTATACCACATAGGGCAACAGAGGCAACTGAGCAACTCCATGGTAACACTGCCCCCATTGTTTAGCTCAGTCAAAGAACGCAATGGTGACCCAAATCAAGTGGGAGACAGTGGACCATGGAACGCCTCTCCAATGCAGACGCAGATGGCATTGGGTCGACCTACTGGCCCCAGGATCACGCTTCCCTGATGGCTCAGTGGTAAAGACTCTGCCTGCAATGCAGGAGACTCAGGAGATGCAGGTTCAATCCCTGGGTTGGGAAGATCCCCTGGAGAAGGAAATGGCAACCCACTCCAGTATTCCTGTCTGGAAAATCCTATGCTCAGAGGAGCCTGGCATGCTACAGTCCATGGGGTTGCAAAGAGGCAGACACAACTGAGCACACACACAAACTGGCCCCAGTAGCCACTAGCAACGACAATGAAGATCAGCAGCTCAGTCTAAACTCTTGTGTGCATGGTGAGAGATAATAGATTGGTCTCAAATGACATCCTGATTTTCTAATATAAGATCTACTGATCCCCTAGGACTTATCAGAGCTGGTTGAGTTCAGGACCCTGGAGCATATGGTTAAGATCAACACTGCAGGTAGCCTCATCTTGCTAGTTACAGTCCTACTGACAGCAGTCTGAGACAAACTAAACAAATGTGGTCCTAGTCTCTACTGATCAGATTATCATATGGAATAAGGCATTCATGTAGAAATGTGAGCTAAGCCAAGACACACAGGGCTGATGGAGGGACTGTGTGTATGTGTGGTGGTGGTGGTGGGGGGTGTGTGAGGAATCCTCTCTATGGCCTTGAGCGTCCCTGCACATTCTTGCTGGGTACACCTGACCCCTCTGTACCTGGGTCATTTCTCAGGTCGTGCTTACAGAAAGCAACCTTGAAGGATGAGGTGATATCTGTCTACAAACAAAGACCAGGTTTGCTTCTGGTCAGTATAAAGGTGGTGGATTTCCCAAGCTTGGTGTTCCTCAACTTGATGCAAACCCACTGACATCTGTCTGAACCCCTCTGTTTCACCCCTCTCCCCCAATCAAGACTTAGGAAATAAGGGAAACCTGCATAACCAGGTCAACAGCAACTGCTTTCGCTGTAATGAACTCTGATGTCTCTAACCTGTCAGCATCCATGAAACAGCAGCAAAATCCTAGACCTTCAGCAGTACCCCCTGATGCCTGGGGAGAGCTTGTCCTCTGCGGAGGCCAGTCCTCCAGTCCTTCCTGCCCGGCCACTCTGACCTCACCCGCCCCTCTGCTGTCTGTCCTGCTCCCCCAGCAGCCTCCAGCCCTTAAAGCCCACTTCAGCTCTAGGATGAGAACATGTGCAGAAATGAGGGACAGAAGGCGGGCTGGGTGCTCAGAGGCTCACAGGCAGAGAAGCAGGGCCTAACCTCCCATGGCTTCCCTACCATTCACCTGGAGTGAACTGTGCCTACTGTGCACTGGGATGGATGTGTTTATAGCCCCTGACTGCCCTTCATAGCTGAGGTTCACCCAGCATGGACAGAGAGGAAGCTGAGGCTAAGACAGGGGCAGCAGCTTGCCCAAAGGTACCAGGGTAGGTTAGACCCAGACCCAGGTACTTCTGGCTCCAAGTCCAAAGCCCTCACACTCCACTCTAGGTGCTGCAGCCCCTGGCCTCCCAGGGTCTGGCAGACGCAGTGCAGACAGGGCCACAGGCCCCAGCAGCTCACCTCTGTGCGGTCTACTTTAAATGGGTTCTGGAAGTCAGAGTGTTTCTCGCTGATCCCCAGCTCCTGGGCCATCTGCGGACGAGGAAAAGCTAGTCATCCTCTGCCTTCTCCCGCATCTTGCTCACCTGCAGGCCATTCCCTCCAAGGCTGGGACAGATGTGGGCCAGGTGATGACCCCCAGGCACCAAGGTCAGCAGAGAACCCCTTGAAATGGCACCTCAAGGTGGCCCGAGGCTTATCACAGAAAATGCAACCAAGGGGACATTCAGGCCCCACTGAAGCAGGCTCATGGTGGCTCAGTACAACCACATAGAGGGCTCCCAGACCTCCTCCGCCCCAGTCCTTACCAGGCTGAGGATAGGTGAGTGGGGGCCCTGGTCAAAGACGCCCGACTGGTTGCAGAAGCTGATGCCCCAGCGGATGAGGAGGTTCCAGTTGGAGTTGTGGTCAAAATAGTGGTGCACGATCCTTGGGAAGCGCAGCACCACGTCACCGAAGAAGGCCGTGTTCTCCACCACCTGGGAGAAAGCTGGCGAGAGGACCCTGGTGAGCGGCTGGTGGAGATGGCCCTCTGCAGCCTTGCGGCCAGCTCTGCACACCCTCCAAAGGACAGTGGTGAGCCCACGAACCGGAGAAGGGCGCAGAGGTGCTGCATACAGGCTGCTGACCACGCGTGCAACTCGTGCTGAGGGGTTTATGTCACTGAATCATCAAAACTACCTTCAGAGGGAGATGTGGCTGTAATTCCCATTTCACACATGGGAGACGGAAGCTGACAGGTAGTGAGCAGCAAACCCAGGTCTGTCTGACTCCAAAGGACATGCTTCCTCCCCCGTACCTCGCAGCTCAGAAGACTTGCTTGCCGTGGGGACCACAGGGGTGCCACTGCGCAGATGGAGGCATGTGCATCCCATGAGGCTTTGCTGGGCCTAACCTCCCCAACTTGGTACCATAATGTCCAGAGCTGGGCTCTGGTGTTAACTAGTGTCTGTGAGGGGTCAGTTCTGTTAGGATGGCCAGGGAACACATCAGGGCTTGTTTTCTTTTTAGTATATGTCCAATTTTATTTTAAATGCTTAAGCTCTTATTTTGAAATTATTTTAGACTTACATAATACACCAAAAAATTCCTTCACTCGGCTTCCTCTAATGTTATCATCCTTACATAACCACTGTACAAACCATCTAAGCCAGAAAATTAACATTGATACAATACTATTAACTAATCCATAGACCTTATTTGATTTTGGTCAGTTTTTACACCAGTATTTTTTAGTCAATAGATCAGTTTGAGTTTAGTGTCCATTAAGGTGGCAGGTTCCCCTGACAGGCTAGCATAAAGAATAGTAACTATACACCCAGCCCTGGGGTGGGGGGCCCTGTTTGAGTGACCCCCATAGATAAGGCCCACATCCTTATCAGCACTGGCCAGGTCACACAGAGAGAGAAAGGGACCCCTCCAAAGATATGCTCGCCTGGGTCTGAGACAAGTCAGGCAGGGACCTCTGGGCTGCAGAATAATCCTGAATCACAAAGAACTCAGGAATTCACTAGGTTTATAGGTAAGAGCCGGGCAAACCACCTGTCCTCTTTCACCTGGAAACTGGAGGTGATGGTGCCTTCCTCAGTTACAGTGGAGATGAGAGCTGGTATCTGCCCAGCATTCAATATGTAAAGGCTACTTCTGTCCTGGCTCAGACAGTGTGACCTAACATACTTTACTGTTAGAATGTAACTAGCTAATGGGAAGACATTACCACTGGAGAGAAATTCCTGGAAGAGGAGATGAAAGGATACAGAATATTCTTTTATTTATGTTGGTCCCACCTTGTCTCAAAAAGGATTTAAGGAGGTTGAGGCTTTTAGAATAGCAGTAAAGAGTGCTGGTAACTGCTCCCATGGGCCAGTCACTTCAATAGATCTCAGTTTTTTTCTTCTATAAATGGGAACAATCCTTGCCATCTCTACCAGAAGGGTCAGGGTGGTGAAGGCAAGGACTGCTGGACTGGAAGTAGGCAAAGGCTCTTCCCTGATTCCCCTGCCCCAAGCACAGGACAGCACTACATAATGTATGTGTATCAGGGACACAGAAACTGGCTCTGAAACGAGCCCAGAAACACTCGGAGAATCTTATACTGAGTGCCCAACCACCCAAGAGACTCCTTGAAGGTGCTGCAAGAGAGCACTTCCAGAGAGGAAAAGAAGAGTGACAAGAACAAGAGGGAAGGAGCAGCTGGAGAAGATCAAGGTTGCAGCGGGGAAGACCATACCATCCTTCAGTTTCTCGTCCTGGGGGAAGGGCCCATCTGGGAGCACACCTGCAGCAGTGAGCACTGTCCGGGAGTCCTCCAGCACCTGAGGGAAGCCCGCCTGGGCTGAGTGGCTTTGCCAAGGTCTTCCCAGACCAGCCCCAGCCCTGTTTACTGAGGCCCTACTTCAAATCTTCTGTGGATTCACTTCCCCTTCACTGAACACCATCCCCATAGGGAATTCCTACTCATCCATCAGTGCCCAGATCAAAGACCAAGCCTACCATGAGCTGCCCCCTGCCTGCGTGCACCTTAAAGAGCCCCTTGAGCATGACATCCAGGATCTTGTACTGCTGGTGGACATCGTTCAGCTGTGCCAGGTTTTTCAGTGCCAACAGCTGCTCCCGCCGCTTCACCTCAAACATCTTCTTGTCTGAGCACCATTAAGTTAAGGAGCTGGCACCAATTCTCCTGCCTGGATAATCCAGTGGTCCTGATCCAGAGGGCCCATTCCTGGCCAGCAAGTCTCTGCAAGGGGCATAGATGCACATGGCTGGGACTTCCCAGGGAATGAATAAACTGTCTGAGAAGCATACGAATCCCACAACATATCATTATTTCACAGAGGATTCCACACCCAACAGCCTTGAATACAACCCTCAGGACCTGGCTTCTGCCCTCCCATCCCATCCCTGTGGTCTTTCCACCATCTCCCACAACCCTTCATTGTTCCCAGAACCTCCGCTTCTCTGCTCACACTGTACACTCTGCCTGGGGTGCCTTCCCACCCCTCTCTATGAATTGCCACTCTTTCAAGGCCCGGCTTTTTAGCAGATAGCCCAAAATGCCAGGATTTGGTCTCCGCCCAGGGTCTCACACAGAAAGTGGTAGGTACATGCAAAATCCTCAGGGTCCTCATGGTACTGAAATATATGCCTTGCCTTCTCAATTTGTATGGGGAAACTGAGGCTCAGAATAGAACTGACTTGATCAAGATCTGGTTAGAGCACATTACTTTTTCTCCCCGATTTCTATTGGTTGAAGCGGGCAGGTCCTGCTCTACCCTGGAATCCCCCAAGCAACTGTGGGTATAGAGAGACCTTATTTATAGATCCCTCTAAAATACCTCCAACCCCAAAGGATACAGATCTCCAGGCTCGGGTCCAGGGAGGTCCTCAGGGTGTCTGTGACTCCTGTTTCAGACAATAGCAGGACAGACAGGGAGGTCAGGAACTGAAGAAGGTCCATATCCAAGACTCTGGAGCTAAGAGAGTAACCCAGTGAAAGAAGGTGAGACCCAGAGCTTGGTGTTATATAAAACAGAAAGTGAACTGAAAAGCAACTTCCCCTGACATGACACAGCCTCCAAATACCAAGAACCCAGCTTTCAGAATCACTGAAGCCCCAGTCCCTAGCCCAGGGCCAGGGACCAAGAGACACACGGTGACGACATGGGATGATGAGAGGAAGAAAGATAAATGTCAGCACAGCAGGGATGCTCAGAGAACAGGTCTGGAACCCTGCACTGGAGCCCTGGCTCTGCCTGACTTCGTGACCTACAGAAGGCAAATTGCTCAGCCTCTCTGATCTTCATCTTCCTCACTGCAAAATGAGGATAAGGAGGTCATCTCCCTGCTGCAGAGACAAAGACCTGGGTGAGGCACTGTGCCTGAGGAAGGAGGGTCAACATTATTCCCCCTCAGTTCCCCCACCCTGGCCTTCCAGGAGGCCCAGCAGTCAAAAACGTGAAACCTGTAGGGTTTCCTGCTTTTCCTGACTTCTGTCATCAGAAAGGAAGAAGGGGTGCTGGGTGGGAAAGGAGGCAAGGCAGTCTTGGGGTAAGACGGCTGTTACTCTCCTAGGAGCCACAGGCACCACAAGCAACACATGTTCCTATCTAGGCAACATTCCTCAACTATTTACTGAGTAACTTTCATGTTCCTTGAATGTTCTGGAGCCAGGAATACAGCAGGAACAACATTCCCCGCACAATGGTACTTCTATCTCTAGTAGGGTTAAGAGACAACCAACAAAGTTGTAAAGCAAGCACAGAAGGATAAGAGGGAGTCAGCAAAGTGTGACATTAAAAACAGCAGTCAGAGGAGGCCTCTACCCAGATGATGGCTGCCCAATTTTACCAACGTGGAGATGAATGCACAGAAAAATGAGGTGACTGCCCAAATCACTTATAGATCACTCACAGATTTTCCAGTTAAGCTAAGAGTCTTAATGAACAGGCTATCTCAGAGCTGGCCACTGTTCTACCAGGACACCTGCCCCAGGGGAGAGATGCTCAGTTATGGACCGTGACCGCTCACAGAGGTCAATCAGAGAACCAACTCTGTCCCGTGCAGATCAGACAACTGAAGCCTACAGAATGTGAGGAAACAGTTCAAGCTCAACCAGAGCCCTACATTCCACCGTCATACTCCAGACTCAAGGGAACCAAACTCTGGTTAAGGTGAAACTTGGGAATCAGGAGCTATCAGATGGCCGGTAATGACTGAAGCGGGGAAGAAGTGGGAAATGAGAGAGGTGACTTGGTGGTGGGTTCTGAGCGGGCCACTCGGGCTTGCAGACCAGGGATGCCACCCGTGCCTTTAGAGCTCCTAAAGGAGAAAGTCTTTCCAATGAGGTCCGCGAATCCCACACCCTACCCCCTGCAGCCAGTTCTGGGCCCTCGGTTCCTCCCCCCGCTCTCCAAAGGGGTCTGCTTGCCCACGGCCCTCGCCCTACCTACCGGGCCAGGCGGGCGGGGGAGGGCAGGAGTCAGACAGCAACCGACTCGAGGGTCTGCTAGCAACCAGCAGAGTCGTGGATCCTCAAAGAATGCCCGCGAGTAGCAGCACTGGGACCGCCGATTACTGCCCCCGCCCACCGTGCCACCCCTGACCAATGAGCGTAGGCCGCGACGGTCGCTCCTTGACCTCACTTCCGGCTCCGCCCAGGAAAGCGCAGGCATCTGCCCGGCTTGAGGCCTGTGGGATTCCGGTGCCGCCCACCTTGCCGGTCCGCCGGCGCACTTGTGTGTCAACGTTGGTTTGGAGAAAATAGCCTGAAAGGGCGCGTCAGCACACTGACGCCGTGATCCCTGTCGGACGGTCTTCCTAGCGCCCTCCCTGAAACTGTTTTGTCAGCTAAGTGTTTTTCAAACTGCATTTGTCAAAATCAGTTTAGTGGGTCGTGACTAACCCCTTTTTCTAAGTAATGTGCAATGCAGAGCTGGGACATCCCCTGCTCGCCGCTTCGATCCACGAAATTCTAAACCAAGCTCGTTGGGTTCTTCCCTGGTCTATGATTTTGTACAGCGTCAGTATAGACAGACCCGAGGAGAGCTCCGAAACCGTGTACAACCCCGTATCCTTGTCTTTTGAAGTAAAAGGCTGACTCTAGCGTTAATGATTGGGAAAGGTGAAGATGTAGAAACAAAGAATAGCTGTTGGACTAGGGAACTGGTAACAGTTTAGACTATAATTCTGCCACATAGCAGAATCACCCAACTCCCAGTTCCCTGGAAGATATAAAGGTCTGACACACATTCCTAAATTGTTTTTATAGGAAACAGACCAACCCCCCCCCCCACCCCAACCAAATGAAAACTGCTGCCCACAAGAACCACAGGCCCTGTGAGGTGAGGCCCTGTGAGGTGAGGCCCTGTAAGGTGAGGGTGGGATGTTTCAAGAGAACAGCATCGAAACATGTATATTATCTAGGGTGAAACAGATCACCAGCCCAGGTTGGATGCATGAGACAAGTGCTCGGACCTGGTGCACTGGGAAGACCCAGAGGGATTGGGTGGAGAGGGAGGTGGGAGTGGGGATCGGGATGGGGAATACATGTATATCCATGGCTGATTCATGTCAATGTATGACAAAAACCACTACAATATTGTGAAGTAATTAGCCTCCAACTAATTAAAAAATTAATTAATTAAAAAATAAAATAAAAATAAAAAGAATGTGTTTGAAAAAAAAAAAAAAGAACCACAGGCCCTTGACTAGCTGAAACCAGAAAATTGATGATACTTGAAACTTCATCTTGATGCCAGCCGATCTGAGAACTGTCCATGGATCATGCCCTGCCCCTTGAAGAGTATAAAATTCCTCACTACCCCCCTCCAGGGTGAATCACACAGTCTTGAGGGCATTAGCCCAGTGTGGCTCCTTTTGCCTGGCAAAGCAATAAAAGCTACTCTTTTCTACTTCACCCAAAACTCTGTCTCCGAGTTTCTATTACTATTTGGCACCAATGAACAGTGGCTGAGTTTCCGAGAGAGCCCTGGCAGACAGTTGGTAAGGGAGCTGACACTCCAGGTGAGCTGACGCAGAACAGGAGTGGGCAGTTGTGGAGAGCAGACATTGGAAGAACTGCATACATGGGTGCACAAATATACGCTCCGAGGAGAGCCAGGAGCGAAAGGCACACAGGGGACCTGCTTCAACCAGGAAGGAGATGAGCCGAACAGCTTCCTTTAGTTAGGAAGGCTGAGAAAGTTCTGACCTGCTCACTTTCCTTGCCTGGAAATTGTACCTCTCTCCACTTTCACTTGAGGTAAAGCAGTAGATAAACTGATCCCAGAGCACCTGGATCACAGCAGCACCAAACATGTGGCCTCTCGCTGCCTCTCCTGCCCCAAAGATGGCCTAACTGATGTCTTCAACTGACGCGACATGCTGGTGTAACCAGAACAAGTCCACCCCCTCTCTCCCTGAGGAGGCCACCCATCCTGGCTGAGGAACCAGCTGGAGGGAGCCCAGGTAAGTGCAAAGTGAAATGTTTTTTGGAGAGCCCACACAGGCATCTGAGTGTATCACTTTATTTCCTGATTCTGTTTCAGTGACAGAGTAAATGGCCCCAGATGAATGGCTGCAGTTGTCATCCGTTTCCCCCAAACCACTGTGCCCTGACTTTGTCTTCTCCAGGTCTCAGTTCTCTCTGCTTCTAGGCATCCGGCCGGAGGGTCAGTCTCTGATGTGGGACAGGGATACAGACACCCCTCCCAGGCAGCTGGCAACAACCATGAGAGGAGAACAGCAAGGAGGTAGGGCCAACCATGGGAGAACACGCTTCTGGGGCAAAAACAGTCAGACAAGAGCGGAGGTGCTCCTGAGAATAACGGGATGGACTCTAAATTGGGGACCTGAATACCTGAGCTCAGCAGTCACTATATATCAAGGAGGGAACCATTCCATGGAAAGGGGACGGAGGAGGGTCTGTGAGGAGGCACTCCCACCCCAGCACACGCACCTCCAGACCAAGTGTCTCTGGAGCACCACCAGAGCAACCCCTCAGAGGGCGGGTGACCACTGCCACAGCCCCTGGCTTTCTCGGGGGCCTGCCAGTCACCCAGCACCACCCCCCATGTTACACTCAGGGCAGCATCTGTGCCAACTGGGCTTGGGCAACTTTCTCCAAAGCTCCTGGGGAAGGGGTCACTCCCTCTGAGTTTGGTGATATGACTTTGGAGATGGTCAAATCTGGGGTCAAATCCTGATGCTATCAGTGTGGATCCAGGCATGTCATTTAACCTCTCTGATCTAAGTTACTACTGCATTAACACTCCTAGCTATTGTGAGGATTTGATACAGTACATGTAACATGACTGGTCCTTGGTAGGAACTTAACAAACAGAACAAGTCATTGTCACTGCTCCCACTGTTAATTATTCTCACCGATCCCTGCTTGCCTTAAGAGAACAAGGCTGTAGACAGGGTACTTCTCCACTCTGAAGCATGATGCTGTGGCCTCCCATAGCCTGGGTGACCATGCCCAGGCCAAAGCTCCAAGATGCAAGAAAGGATACAGTATGTCCTGTAGGGATGGCTGGGCCAGGGAGGCCCTGAGGGAAAGACTCTCCAAGGAGGCCTGCAGGGTCTGGGCCATGCTGTGGTCAGTCAGGAGGCCCATGCTCTGGACCTGGAGAAAAAAGAGGGTAAGAAAGACAGGCTTTCTCAGTGCCCACTCCATACAGGCCCTCTCTGCCCTCCACCCCCTACACTCCTGACCTCCCATTGGCTGTTGTGGTTAGAGCTCCCCCCTCCCACCCCACCCCAAGGGAAGATGGTATAGAGGGTTTGGCCTCACAGTGGCTAAATGGCATCCCCTCCCCACTCACCTGCAGGAAGAAGCCATGCAGAGCCTGGAGTGTGGAGGCAGGGAAGGTAGAGAGGTCGGTTGAAGCTGCGCCTTGCAGAACATGACCCACCTCCTGAGAGAGGATGCTGCTGCTCCGGAACCGCACAAACTGG